ACCTGTATTTCTAATTCTAACGTTTAATTCTAGATTCCATCTTTATTTTCATTTTTTCTTGTATTTCTCTTTTCTTGTTTTTACTTTTTTTCTTTTCATTTTTTCCCTGTATTTCTTTTTTTCTTTACTTCTTTTCATTTATTTTTTTTCCCTTTATTTTTATTTTTTCCTGTATTACTTTTTTTCTGAATTTTTTTTTTTTTGCTTACTACTACTACTACTACTTTTTTTATTTACTTTTATTTCTTCATTTACTTATATTTCTTCATTTTCTTCTGATTTTTTCTTACTATCACATTTTTTTTTACTTTTGGTTCCTTTCTTAACTTGTGTTTTTTTACTCCATTTGTACTTTATTAGTTTTTTTTTTCTTAATTTACTTTATTTCTATTTTTTCTTCTTTTTTTACTGTATTTCCATACTATTTTTTTCCTTATAATTGTACTTTCTTTTTTAGTTTTACTTTATTTTTATCTTGCATCACATCTTCCTTCCTTATTGTAGTTTTAATTTACTTCTATTTTTACTTTTTGTTTATTTTTTTACAGTAATAATACTTTTACCATCAGACTTAATTTTCCCTCTTATCAAATTTTACTTTACTTGTATTTTTAATTTTTTATATTTTTTACTTTAATTTTTTTTCCTTTTTTTATATTTTTCACATTACTTGTATTTTTCCATTTTTTTTTATATTTTTAAATTTTAGTTTTATTTTTACCTTTTTATATTGTTTACTTTTATTTCATTTTACCTTTTTCTCCTTTACCTTATTTTCTGGTTTATACAAATATTTCCTTTACTTCATTAAAAACGTGGAGTCATCCGTTGTGCATTTTCTGTGTAACATTTTCGCAATTTAGACATTTAAAATATCTTAAATTAAGACATTTAGGATTATTTATTCTTATTTTTACTTTTCTTTCATCTTTTTTTTAACTTTTATATCTTTCTCTACTTTCCATTTCTTCGACTTTGAATTTTATTTAAAAATTCCAATTTTTCACTTTAAGATCGAATTTCACTTGAAAATTGTAATTTTAAATTAAAGTTCGAATTTTACTTCAAAAAATTTTTACAATAGCAAACTCTAATTTTATTTTTAAATTCGAAGTTTTACTTTCAATTTCAAATTTTACTTGAAAAATTTAAGTTTTACATTAAAGATCAAATTTTACTTTAAATTTCGAATTTTACTTTATATTTCAAATTCTACTTTAAATTTACAATTTCACTTACTAATTCTAATTTTATTTTTAAGTTCGCGGTTTTTAATTGAAAATTCGAATTTTACATTAAAGTTATAATTTTACTTTAAATTTAGAATTTTACTTTCTATTTCAAATTTCACTTAAAAATTTGAATATTACATTAGAGTTCGAATTTTCTAATTTTACCTACAATTTTTAATTTTATTGTTAAATTCGATTTTTACTTCTAAATTCTAATTTTCAATTTTACCTACTTTTTAATATGCTTTTATTTGCTATTAGTTATATTGAGTATCAATTTTTTTTTATGATAATAATTTTTTTTCTTTATAATAATAAATATTATAAATTGATATTGACAGAAAAGTTGAATTTCAAAATGATCCACGTGCAAAAAACGAGAGAATTGTGTTTTGGCGTCGATTTTTTTTTATATATATATAAGAGTGAAGCAACAATTTTATTCATGACACGCGGATATTAAAGCTTTGTATTTTACGATCGCCGGGTCGAGAGCCGCGCGTCTCGTGTAACTTCGATCTCATATAGTCTGCCAAATGCGCCGGGGTTGTTAGACGCGGAAAGCCCTCTATAATCCAGAAAAGAGCGTTTTTTTTTCGTTTCACCCTAGTCATTGTCCGGGAAACTGTTACTCAAGTATACCAAGTGAAAAATGACGAATCTCATTAGAAAAAGCAAATTTCAATTTGTATGCATTTCCAAAGAAAAGAAAAAATTTTTTTTTACTTACATTCTGAAATATATTATTATTTTTATTTATTTCGAGTAAAATAATTTTGAAAATAAATATATGAATAATATTTGTTTCAAATACCGAAATTATTGGTTTAAATACAATTTATTTAATTCAAATAAAAATTATGTAATGGAAATAAATATTTATTTGAAAAATACAAAAAAGTTGAGTAACCGATTATTATTTGAATCAAATAAATTTTCTTTTTACTTTACAAAAATTTCATGTCAAAATAATACTGAAACTTTTTTAAATAAATAAATTAATACATGTTTTTCGCCCTTTACTTTATTGTAATTATTTGATTATATTAATATTAGTGAATTAATTTTAATTACTTTGGAAAGTAATCCTCCGATAAATACCTATCGATTTTGTTGTTAATAGAAAATTACTTATTCAGTTGGTGTATGGTTTAACGCAAATATGTGTGGGTCAAAATAATCGAAAGATAATAAGTAGAAAAATTAAATATATGAAAAAATAAAAACGGTATTGTTATTAAAAAAAAAACAAACAAACAAACAAACGGACTGTTTATTTGTTAGGGAAAAAAATAAAAAAAAACTTTTAATTGCATGTTCACGCGAGGAAAATTGTAAATATTTATGAACACATTGGATTGGAGAGAGGAAGAAAGAGAGAGAAAGAAAGAGAGAGATATGTTTGTAATTGTAATTAAATAAAAGCATAAAAGCAGAACAATAAATCCTGTTACTATTTCGTTTTGATGATTAAATGGAGCGATGAATATGGAAAAAAATACAATAAAAGAGAAATTAAAAATGATTTCAGAAATCAAGATATGAAGAAGAAAAAAATTGAAATCTAGATTTTCAGGGTCAAAATATAACAGGAATTTTTAGTTCTTGCTTAAGAGAATTATTTAATTTTAATTTACTGGCAAACTATATTTTTCTGAAGTAAAGAAATCGTTTTGTAATTTTTTTTAAAGATTTTTATTTCTTTTTCTTTTGTTAATTAATTCTTTGTAATCTAATTGTTGAAAGAATTTAGTTGGAAAGCAACAAACAAAGAAAGCTTTCTAAAATAATGTTTTACAAAATTAAATTTAAAAAATTTGTTTTTCAAAACTTTTTCTACAAACTTGTTTTGTAAATTTAATTTAAAAATTTGTTCTCTACATTTCTTTTACTTCATTTTACTTAATTATTTATTTGTAATTTACGAGCAATACAAAATTTACAAATTTTTTTTTTTAATTTATTTTTTTACACTTATTTTTAAAAATTTTGTTTTACAAATTTATTTTTTTTACAAACTTATTTTTTTAATTTTTTTTATTTATTTATTTTAAAATAAACGGTATTACAAACGTATTTCTTTGAAATGGAAATTTTTTTGTATTTTTAGCAAAAAATACACATAGAAAATACAAAAATTAAATTATACTATATACGATTCTTTTGTTTTTTCATATATAAATTTAAAAATCGCGATATTTAATTTTAATTTTCACCAAATTTTTACAATTTCAATTCAAAAGTTCAATATTTTATTTATCGGTTACTCTTTAATTAAAAAAAAAAAAATCTAAGCAAATTATTTCGGATTCTAAAATTTTATTAATTTTCTCCTCTAATTGAAAACTAAACTATTCTAATTTTGAAAATAATTTTTCCCTCTATAAATAGAAACATTTTTAAAAATAAAAATTGTCTTGAAAATTTTTCTCATGATTTTCTAATTTAGTTTTATAAACTTATTTTACAAAATTTTTTTTCGTAAAATATTTTTGCTAAATTAATTTATAAACCTTGTTTATCAAAATTTTACAAACTTTGTTTAATCAATTTAATTGACAAACTTTGTTTAACAAATTTATTTCACAAAATATGTTGAATAAATTATTTTACAAAACTAATTTCACATTGCAAGTAAATTTGTTTCGCAATATATTTTTACAATTAATTTTATAAATTTAGCTGCAAAAATTTTGTTTCACAATTTCTTTTTATAAATGAAAGAAAATTTTCTAGTTCTTTTGTTTTGTTTGGCAAAATAATTTTACTATAATTAATTTTAAAAAATTTAGTTCAAAAAAATTTCGTTTTATATAAAAAAAAAATGATTTAATTTAATTTCTATAAATAAAATTATTTTTCTGATTTCTTTTCAATTATTACCAAAACTTTTAAATATACGATTTCTTTACCTATCAAAGATAAATTCTAAAACCAATATTTATTTTTGGCTTCTATTTATATTTAGAAAATTTCTCTCTAAACTTAAATTAATGAAAAATGAGCTACTAATTCATATTTGTAAGAATTTTTACTAATTTTTAGTAAAATGTTACTGATTTAGTAGTTTAAAATTTTTTTACTATAAACTTTTTGTAAAAAGTGACTAAAAATTAGTGAAAATTCTTTCTAATTTAAATTAGTAACTTACTTTTCACTAATTCTTATTTAGAAAGTTATTTTTAAAAAAATTTGTTTCTAAAACACATATCGAATTTCTTTTTATACTCTCTAAATCTGAATTAGTAAAGAAGTTTACTAATTTGAATTAGTGACTCATTTTTTGCTTCTCAATTAGTAAAATTGTACTAATTATTAGTAACCTTTACTAACAATTAGTAAAATTTAACTAATTCTATAGCAAAAAGTGAGTCACTAATTTAAATTAGTAAACATTTTTACTAATTCAGATTTAGACAGTAAATGAAAATATTTTTTTTTGTTTTATTTTATTTTTGTTATTTTGTTTTATTTTTTATTAAATTTTGTTTGTGTAGGTAAATAAAAATATTTAATTCTATTTTTGTTTTGTGTTTTTTTTCAAAATAATTTTACAATAATTAATTTTAAAAAATTTAGTTTAAATAAACTTCCATTTAACAAAAAACTTATTGAATTTCTTTTAATGAATGAAAATTTTAAAACAAAAATTTTTGAATTTGTAAAATAATTTTACAATTAATTTTATAAATTTACCTTCAAAAAATTTTGCTTTACAAAAAAATGTTTGAATTTCCGTTTTATAAATGAAATAATTTTTCTGGTTTCTTTTCAATTATTATACCAAAACTGTATATATACGATTTCTTTACCTATCAAAGATAAATTTTAAAGCCAATATTTATTTTTCAATTTCATGAGAGATGTTTGATTAGAAATAAAATATTAGTTCAAGTTTGTATCGATTAAACGGGAAAATGATTACAGATTTTTCGTTTAAAAAAAAAAAAAATATTTTTCTCTCGAGAACACTATTTTGTAGAAACATTTTTTTTTCTTTTTTTTTTTTAATAGATATGTCGCGGTTTGCGAATGACGGAAAGCGATAAGCGCTCGGAATTCTCGTTCGGTGGATTTTCATTGGAATTCTGGCTAATCCAGCAAGCAGACTGGCTTAAAACAAACGAGAATGCAATGGAAACAAAGCGTTTAAATACAGGCAGTAGTAGGTGGGTAGGTTTTCATCCCTCTTGGCGAAACAGCCCTTGATAAAAAAAAAAAGAAAAAAGAAAAGGTTTCGAAATTCTCATTCTTTTGATGTATCACTCTTAATGATTTTTTTTATTCTAATTTTTTTTTATATATATAAATAGAGAAATAGATTTATATATATATTGTCTCGAGAAACATTTTGTATAGTGTGGTTTTGCTTGTATAGTTGACCACAGTATGCAAAGGGTGAACAACCCCTATATCGCGTTTCAGTGTTTCTGTAGTGGCTTACGACGACCTAAATCTTAAAGAAATGAAGGAGACGGTGCAGATTAAGTTTAAGGGAGCTTAAATGACGAGTGCTGTGTGATTAAAAAAAAAAAAAAAAAAAAAAAGTGTCGCTTTAGTGCATTAATTCACGGATCTTGTGGCCTAAAGAAAAATTTCCATCAGTGAAATTGAAATAAACAACAACAACAACGGATAAATAATTGTGAAGTTCCCAAGTTTCAATATCTCTAGTGAATTTTGAAGCTCAAAGTTTTTATACTTTGAATTTCATGCTATTTGTGGTGTTTTTAAAAAATATATATCTGCATGTTCTTTCCAAAATTATCATCTCTCTCTCTCTCTCTCTCTCTAAATATATATAATTATAAAAATAATAATAATAATAATACTAATATAATAATAATAATCGTGCCGTCAAAAAAACTGTTGCAACCGATGATGTTTACAACTCAACGACCAACTGAATACTGTCAATTACTAATCGTTCAAGTTTTAATCGTTAAATTTTCATAGATGTTTACTAAGAATTAAAAAGAAAAAAAAAGGAAATTCGATATACAATATAGTGAATGTGAGGTTAAGAAATTATTTGGCCTACATATATGTGTTTTCTCTTTGGAAAAAAATAAGACATCAACTATTGTACCTGGTTCTCTTCTGTATTTGATGTTTTTGTCCTTGTACTTGCTATTTAAGAAAATATTGCCGATTTCAAAAGGTAAGAGATTTTTATTTCCCCTTTATATACAACTGGACAGTTTCCATGAAATATTTGTTTTTTTTATGGGAGGAATTTTTTTATTGTATTTTGCGTCACATGAACTTTGTGAATGGAATCAATTTTTTTTTTTTTGTAATTTCAATTTGTCGAATAATCCTTTTGTCGTGGTCAATCTTCTTTTTTTTCAAAGGGAAATTAAAACGAAATCAATTTTTTTCCAATATGTGAGGAATTGTGAGTTTTTTTTTTAATCGAATATCAAAAACTTTATTATATACACGGAAAATAATGAATTAGCTGAATTTGTGTTTGATGAAAAAAATTTGCTATAGGAACTAAAATATTTCCTGCAACTACTAAAAAGTTAGGTGTGAAAAAAAAACAAATTGAGTATTTAAATCCCACAGCATACTTATTCGCTGTATGAATATTAACTAGCAAAGTTCGCAAAAAAAATTCGCTGCCACAGCAAATTGTGTCGTCAGTAAAATAGTTTTTGGTATTTTTTTTTGTAATTTCTATAAAGAGAAACAGATTAAAACTTAAATTAAATTTTTTAACAAATTAAAATTAACCAACATTAAATTAACAAATTGAAATTAAATTAAAATATATTACAAAATAAGTTATAAATAAATAAACTAATATAAACATATATATGTGACGAGCTCTAAAGAAAGAGATTTATAAGAGGCAAAAAAATTACAGGTTATGTTTATGATAGTTTCGAAGTGAAAATAAAAACTAATTAAAAAAATGATAAAAAAACAGTGTAATTAAAAAAAAGCAATTTCAATTAAGGTAAAACTATCATAAACATAATCTATAATTCTTTGATTCTTACGTTTCTTTCTTCAAAGTGCACCGCACATATTGGGATCTCTTCTATTGTGATACGCCATCTGGTGAGATTTTTTGAACTATTGACAAGAGGTAGCGTCCACCAATCCGAATCGCTCATACCTTAGTGGCAAAAAATGGAACTAACTGAGAGAAGGTCAAAAACATAAACCACGCCCCCAAGAGAGATCCCAATATTTAAATTTCATTTTTTTGTTTAATTTTTGTTTAATTTTGAAAATTTTTATTTATCGTGTTAAAAAAAAATTGAAGTTCAGATAAAGTTTATTATTTCACTTTTTTTTTTTTGTACGTTTATTAGTTTTATGCACTTGAGCGTCAATTATAGAGTAGGTTACGATAAGAATTAAAGACATAAGACTTGACACAAATTTCAGACGATCGAAAAAAATACTGAGACGCGTAAATCTAGTAAAGAGAATATGTTCATATAATGCACAATGAAAAAAAATTTATTTTATTCAAATACTCTATTTTTCTTTTATTATAATAATCGTTAACTATTATCAAATGGATATTTATTTCTATAAAATAATTATATACATTTGTATATAATTAATATTTCTTTGTATGGTAATTAATATTTATTTATATTGAATTAATATTTATTTAAATACGAATTAACATTTATTGGGAATCACAAATAATTATTATTTAACCCTTAACTGGCACCATGGGTCCAGTAGACCCGAGCATTTTTTCGAACTCAAATTAATTGAAGCATTTGAATATTTTTTAGTATTTTAATATGTATTAGTTTGACATATTCTTAGTAATTTTGTAAGTTTTTTGATACAACTAATTCGTTACAAAAGAATATAAATTAGCTTCAAACATTAATAATTATAAATTTTTAATTTTAACCTAAAAATTTACATTTTATTCTGCAAAATAAATACCTTTTTTGCAAGTCTCGCAGTTGTGGTAATTTTTTCCTTAAAGAATAATAAATCATAACCTTAAATTTTTGAGTCATAATATTAAAATTTAAATAACTCATGAATTTTTAAGTAAAAACATGCAATTTTTTGTTTCTATTTTTCACGATTTTTTTTTAACTGACTTAAAATAAATTAATTCCTGTAAAACTAATGAAATTTTAAAAAACACATCATAAGCTACCTCAGATTAAATTTTTGTGTGCAAAAATATTTAATATCGGCTTTAATGAAGTATTATTAATGAAATAATATGTTTATTAGGTATATAATAAAAATACCGAGGGTTGATATAGGTTAAAATTTCTTCTATGAAAAAAAATATATACTTTTATCTTATATATAAAATTATATAATGCTGTTGATATTATAGCTATTATATTATATATATATATAAGACATAGTATAAGCTATTAAGGTAGATAGACAGTAATTTTCTTATTTCCTTTGTTTATGTAACTCTTTTAAATGTTATAAGCATATACATATAAAACACTTAGGATATTAATCGTTAACATAAGTTATTTAGCTATATTTATTTTATTATGATTATTATTAATATGTATATCCTTCTTACAAAGTTGTTATTAAACAATAAACTTATGTAACTTTTTTGGTGTTGATTTTAACATTATGTATTTTATTCTTTTCAATTAATTAGATAATTTATTTATTTTTATAAATTTGATATATCACATTTTCAAAATTTCAAATGGCAGAATCAATGAGGATTTTTATTTAAAATTCATCAGATTTGATTAAAACTCGTCACTCGGGAGTTTTTGAGGTCACTGATTACGAATTTGATTGTAAATTCTTAATGAATGACGACAAAAAAAAACCCCCCCATAGTAACGAATTTTAATCAAATCTAATCAAATTGAAAAAAAAGTCCAGCCATATTGGATCCGAGAATTTGAGTTTTGAAAAGTTTTCATCTAATTCGTATATAAATCATCGATTCCAAAAACCCCTCGATTGACAAGTTTTAAACAAGTCTAATGAATTTAAAAAAAAATCCTTCATACCCAGGTGAAACGATTCTACGGAAACTACTCTACGGAAATTCCGTACGTAATTCCGTAAAAATTATATACGGAATTCCGCAAAAATTTTCGCAAAATTTTTGAAAGAAGTTCTTTTGTAATTTTGCGAATTTTTTACAAGAATTACACACATAATCTCTATACAGAATTGCACAAAATTTTTGTTTGAATTTCACAACTGTACACTGAAAAAAATTTAGCCGAAATCCTCAACTACCTTTAGTTAACTGACTTGAAAATAGTAAAAGTAACTACTTTTTTGGTTATTTTAACTATGTGTAGTCAATTTAACTATTTTTTATGGAGTTAAGAATTAGTAGTTAATTGTACTTAACAAAAGTAGTTAAATCAACTTCAAAAATTAGAACAATTACAAAATCTCCTTGACCTAACTAAATTCTTAGTTCTTTTAACTACTTTTTAATAGTCCATACAACTTTTTAAATTCAGTTAAGGACCTATTGAACTCTGCAGGGTAGTTAAAAAGTAGTCAAATCTACAAGTTTTTTTATTGAGTGTATTTTTTACTGATTTTTTTGTAATTTTAAAATAACTGCTGGTGGATACACTGAAAAAAATTAGTCGCGAAATTCAACTACCGTTATAGTTAGTTGACTGAAAAATAGTAAATTTCTTTTGGAAAACGTTTTATTGACCTCTCAAATAAGTTCGACTTGATATTAATTAATCACAAAAAAATCAGCAAAAAATAAGGTTGTGGAATTTTATTGAAAATTTTGTGCAATTCTGTATGGAATTCTTCCAAAAAAATTGGCAAAATTACGAAAGGAATACTTTCAAAATTTTGCGGAATTCCGTATAGAATTTTTGCGGAATTCCTTATGGAATTTCCGTGGAGTGATTTCCATAGAATCGTTTCATCTGGGTATTGATTCCGATATTATGAATTTTACAATATGCAATAACAGTTTTCGTAAAATAAACAAAAAGATACAACATTTTTTTAAGCCAAATCAAAAAAGTGTCAAAGTCAATTATATAAAAAAAAAGGATTTGGTTTTGACAACAAAACGTTTGGTTGATTATAATTTAAGCAAACAAAATGTTTTTGTTGCCTCCATAAAATTTTGATTGTCTCAATAAAATTTTGTTTGAAACAATCTAAAATTATAGAATAAAAAGATTTTTATCGTCTTAACTAAAATTTGATTGGGACAAGAAAAATTTTAGTTTGAAAACTTTTGATTGCTTAAATACCAAAACCAAACGTTTTGTTGTTAAAACCAAACCCTTTTTCCAGTATGTGTAATGACTTAGACCTCTCTCATAAATATAATCCGTTAATAGACATAATTTCCGCAATGAATAGAAATCCTAGGTCAATTTATGGTAAAGACAATTGCCCATTTAGGGAATTTCGCCAGGAATACATTTCTACTATATGTACTAAAAAGTGGAGCGTGTGAGCTCGTGCCAAGACACTTGTTGACACAGGTCGCGTATTCACACATCCATTTGTTAGAGAGAGATATATATGTGCGTGTCCAAAGCTCTCAGTTGTATTCACATGAACGAAAAGAGAGCCCCTCTCTTTCTCTTTCTACTGCAGTGAACATTGAAATGATTGAGGTAAATGTGAAGTTCCATTGTTACTCCTCGAAGGGATCGAATTGCTCGCAAAGGGTCTCACAAACACGCTATGCTGACATTACGAAGGAACGAGAGAGAGAGAGAGAGAGAGAGAGAGAAAATTATTCGTCAAAAAACCACACACGTTTAGAATTTTGCACATACACCTCTGGTGTGTTAAAATCTAAGCTCTTTTCTATCCACTTCCACTCTTTTCATTCTCTATCTCTTACTATTAATCCAACGTACACTCTGTGATGTATGTTATATGTAAAGTTGTGCGGTGACACTTTGTGATGGATTGCGCTTAGTTGTACACTATATATATATATATATATATATATATATATATAGATAGAGGAGAAAAGTACATCAACTCTTGTACGATGATTTAAGTCATATATATTCGTATAGGCACACCTGACATAGTAGCTCTAAAATAAAGGGAAAGAAGCAAAAACTTATAGGTTATGTTTATGATATAGTTTCGCAGAAAAAACCTGGGATCAATTTGAGTATGTGTACGCTGCACAATTTGAAACGCATCAAAAATAAAACTCCT